AAAAAAAAACGAAATCTTTTTCCTTTCCGTGAGTCATAATGAAACAGCACAAATTTTCCCCAATTAAAAATGTCTCCACTGAATGCAAAATGGTTGGTCTTGGGCACTTTGTACTACCTCAGGAGTTTAAGTGTGCCCCGTGACAGGGCCTATGCCCAGGTAATGCACACTGAACCCCACATTGCTGGGTCATCTTTGAGGTGCACAGCCTCCCACAGGATATGAATAATGTGAGTGACAGGATTTTTGCAAGTTCATTTCTGAATCATTAAGTCAGAATATACAGATGTTATTCTCCTGTCTAGCACAGCTGCTTCTACTTTAAGCATTGCATTAGAAATAAAGTGGTTTTAATGTTGAATTCATAGTTTGCAGCAAGGGCTGGGGATTTAGCTCAGTGGTTCTGATCCCTGACTCACAAGCATAAGGACCAGAATTTGATCCCTGGTACAAAAAGCCGGGGGGTTGCACATAGTTTGCAGCATTCAGAGCTGCGTCCCCAGTGACTTGGCACATTTGCTGGCTGGCTCCAAGCAGTACCCTTGGGGAAGTTGCACGTGTACCTTGAATATTGTGACATTAAGGCAGCGTCACAGAAAAACCATTTTATTTCTGAAAGTTGTTTATTTCTTAATGTTGAGGCAGTGGAAGAAATGAGGAAATGGCTATGGACGGGAAGGTAGAAAAAAGTGTGGCTCTTGCGTTACACATTTTCCTTGGGCTTTGGTTTCCTTCACTTTAGTGGTTTTTTTTTTTTTTTTTTTTTTTCCTAATACGGGGTGGGGGGATCCAACTCCACCTTGCTCTTTTAAGGCAGGGGGTGGCACCACTGAGCTAAATCCCCAGGCCAGCTTCAGCTTTTTGGAAGCAAGTCAGGATGTGTTCATCTTGGCTGAGAGCTAAGACGTAGATCAAGGTAGAGGAAAGTGACTCATTTGACATTACCTCACTTTCTGAATCGCTCAAATGCCCAATCAAGTCATGGCTAACTGCTGCGAGAAGAAATTGTTCCTGTAAGCAGATTTATTTAGTTAGTTAGCTTTGGTGCCAGGGATCAAACTCAGGACCTTGCAGTTGCCAGGCAGGTGGTGGAACCACTGAGGTAAATCCCCGGTCCTGTAAGCAGATTTTTAATTTAAACTTTACTGAGGATATTTTGTGCTCTGTTTCTGAACTTTATTTAGTGAAAGTTCGCACAGGACCTTGCAGTGACCCTTTAAGCATCACTTTGGGTATGGATAGGGATGGAGCTAAGTGACAGAATAGATGACCATTCTTAGTAGCACTGTGCTTGCTTTTTTCATGCGCGTTGCACTGAGACTAGAAAATTGAGTTGTATGTTCAATGATTGTGGCTTGGTGTTGAAGAGGCTGTTGGGGTGAAAGTGAGACGGGGGCATGGTGAGTGTAGCCTCCTCTCGGGGAAACTGCAATGCTTTGGAGGAGGAGCCTTGGTAGGGCCACCAAGCGGTGCAGTGAGACCACGCCCCTGCGGCGGTTTGTGCCTTCCCGCACGTAGCGGCAGGGCAAATGGCTGCAGTACCCGCTGCAGTACCTTCGGCGGCCTCTGAGACTCAGCTCCCCCGAGCGCTCGGGCTTTTTCCTGAAGCTGCCCGAGCAGTGTTTGGGGACAGGCTTGGCTGTGTTTGGTGGGAGAGATGCCCAGACCAGCTGTGCTAGGATGGTGAGGTAGCTGGTCCACAGCGAAATGCCACAACCAGTAAAGATGCTGGCTGCAGAGTGTGTGTGTGTGTGTGTGTGTGTGTGTGTGTGTGTGTGCGCGCGCACACACACACACACACACACACACACATATACACACACACACTTTTTTTTTCTTTTTAATTTTTCTAAAAAGGACCCTATCTCATCTGGAACATCTTTAATTGACTTACAGATCCCATTTCTTCAACTTGAAACAACTGGTGTGTCTTGAAATACTTGCAAAAGAATTGTCAATCTGTTGAGTTGGTCCAGGCACATCAGATATAGGAGGTCTGTGCCCGTTTTACAGGAGCCTGGGAATTCTAAGAGCCTCCTTCTGAACCATCCTGATATTTGGTTATTAAAACTGAGAGCAGATTTAACAAATATCACTTAACATGATGGATGATCATTTTAAA